AATAAATTCGTTGTGTGCAACACTGTAGTTTGCTGGATTGAGATTCTTTGTGACGAGATTCTACTGTGTATAATCACTCCCTAGATTTTTCGTGCACAAAATTAAAATTCCAACAAAGACGAATATACGCGCGAACTTACTTCCCTGGTGTTCTGACTTTTCAGGAACCCAAGATTTCTGACTAAATTTAGGTTTTCCCTAGAAAAAGAAAAACTTTTCCACACAACCCTTGCTCTTCCCCTGCAGTCACTTTACTCATGCATCGTGCAGTGCTAAAAGCTGATCTTTTTTCTGATTATTTTAAACTTTAATTCAGAAAGAACTGAAAAGAAGGAGTGCTTGCTCGTTTTGTGGGCAGCGAACAGTCTGATATAGCCACGTGATTTGCATGAATGAGAGAATATAAGCACGCTCTGGTTTTTGAGCTCGTGAAATTGGAGAAAAACGGGATGCTCTTATTGGCGTAAATACGGTAGTTCGTAATTGATGGATGGTTCAAGATGTGTCTATCCAGTGGAAATGTGCGAAACAGTTCCGGTGTTCAAAAATATTTAATGTTATGCCCCTCAAATGGGCATTTAAATTAGTGGCAAATTCTACCAAAACGCTGTATTGCAAAATTCAGAGTGCAATTTAATGCCGAAGAAATGTACACGCGATGAAAAACTTCGTGTTTCCATCAGCTTACGCAGGAATATTTATCAAATCTGAAGGATCGATACAAAAACGTTCTGAGCAACCAATTTATGGATTTCAATTCCGTTTTAATGCCACGTTTGTTCTTATTTCTTTGCCGACTCATTAAAAACTTCGTTGTGTTGATTCGGATGGTAGTGCTATATAAAATTTTCTTTTTTTCGTTCCGATTGCAGATGTAAGGACGAGAAAGGAGAGGAACTCGTGTGGGTGCCGAGTGCTAGTGAATGGCGAAAAAATGAGCACTTCGTGGACAAGGACACCGGGAAAAAGTGTTACCGAGACGCCGTTGACAACACTATCTACGAATGGGACGAGGGCAAAAGCGCTTGGTTTCCTCTCATAGACGAAGATTTCCTCGCAGTTTACCAAATGCAGTACGGGATTGCGAACGAGGACGAAGAAAAAGTGGAGGAAAAGGCGAAGGATGAGGAACCGGAAAAGCAGGAGGAGAAACCCACGAAGAAAAGAAAACCTGAAAATCCAACCTGGTTTCAAATAGAAGCCGAGAAGAATACGAATGTTTATGTACAAGGTGTGTTTGAAAAAAAAAATTGCATGATGTTCTTTGGATTATTTGAGAAATTCCTGCCTCGCGTGTCTCTTTTTTTGCTGAGGCTTTGAAATTGTTGGAAATTTTCTGCAACGAAGGCGTTAGTGTCTTATCAGATTTATGAAAAATTGCTTTATTAAAATCCTTCTTCACTTGCCAGCTCAGCAGCACTTGAAATTTATTGCTCATTAAATCATCTTGTCCAAACACGTTGCTTATTCGGGTTTGGTTTAATTTCGAGACTGACTTGGCGGTTAATCTGATGTGAGGATTACGGTGAAGAATTACAGGAAATTGTAATTGGCGACATTCTTGGCCTTAAATTGCTACTTGGATCTGTTGGCAGGATGCTGAACTTGGAGGCAAGGGTTTATTAACCCAAATAGTCTTCACTTCCTTTCAAAACACATCGTTACATTTTTTATTGCTGTCTCTTTTCCGTGTCAATGAAATAAAAGCCGAATGGCCTCCAGAAAATTCGAGTTATGGAGGTTTGATAGGGAAATCCTTTGAGTTAGGGAGTTCTTCAATACTTCTTCACTCTTTGTTTCTTGACGTAATCCAGAAATACTGTAATCAAGACAAAAGTATGTTTTTGAATCATTGTACTATATACCAGCATCCTTGAGCAAATATTTTCCTAAAATTTTCAGCATAGGTCAAAGAAACACTTCGTGATTTTAATCGCATCGATGTCACGACTGTCACCTGACTTCCGGTCGCATTTTCTGTTGTTCAAGATCGGTCAGGTTATTTCATGTTGTAATAATTTGGGTGACGGTATTACGCGTGTTGCTAGATGAGTTCAGGTTAGGACAATTTCTGCCTGGAATTCTTAAAAGGAAGATTTTTGAATGTAAGCAAGAATAACGGAATTATAATGAAATGTTTTCTTTCTATTGCGCAGGTCTGCCCTTAGATATTACGGAGGAAGAATTCGTAACGACCATGTCAAAATGTGGTTTGGTGGCAAAAGACCCGGACTCAGGAAAAATGAAGGTGCGTATTTGTTTTGTGTTGATCATTTAATCGTAAATGAATTTAACTTATTATTCGAAGAAAGTCTTTTTTTGTGAGGCAGATGATTATTACAGATTTTATTCTTTGTCGTAGGTGAAACTTTATTTGAATAAAGACGGCAAAGTCAAGGGTGATGGACGCTGTTGTTACATTCGCCGGGAATCTGTCGACCTCGCCCTTCAAATTTTGGATGGCTACAACCTCCGAGGATTCAATTTGAAAGTTGAGCCAGCTGAATTCACGCAAAAGGGAGAATACGATCCTACGAAAAAGCCGCGGAAAAAGAGGAAACAGGAAAAGGAGAAACTGAAGAAAATGCAGGTTAGTACTGGTCTGGTATTTTCTCATGACCTGTCCAAACATCACCCCTTTCAGTGTACGACCGTACGAGGGTCGTCCCAGTTGTACGCGACCTCTGATAATTTTAGAATATGCGTGATTCTAAAAGAAAATCATGAAGATATTCGAGGGTTCTGGGATTTTTTTTGGATTATTGAAAAAGTTTTTCAATTTACTGAGTGGAAAGTTTCCAGTTACAGCCATTATTCCTCTACATGTATTTCATAGTGTGACAGAAGAAAAGTTTTGGCATGCAGAAAATTTATATATTCTTTGGAAAAGTGTAAAAATTGTAAGAAGAAGAGCTAGTTGAGAAGCATTTCTACTTCAGTATTAGGAACTAATGAGTGTTTCTTGTTTGTTTCGGGTTTCTCTCTCGCTGCCTTTCAGTTTTGGAGTGTTGAAAACGAATTAACCCTTTGACTCAGGGTTCTGTTCCCCACGAAACTGCCTTTGTTCTTTCCGAAGCAAAGGCCGTTTTGTGAAAAATCTGTAATGCGGTACCTTTCTGTTCCAAATTTGCTGAAAAATGTGTAGATAGCTTTTCCTTTTTCGCGTTGAAGATGAATCCTCTAAAATCAAGAATTTATTTTTCAAGATAATGTTTTCCTGATACGGAAATTATGAGTTGCGTTGATATGAATTTGGATTTTGGAAATTATCGATCATTACAGATCATTCAGAAGGGGTATATAATGTATTTTGAAACCGTATCGGGATTGAATCATGACTGTCTTATGAAGAGTTTTTTTTAAATAATTTTGTCGACTCTTCAGGAGAAACTTCTGGCTTGGAAACCGGATGAGCTCAGAGGACAGCGTCCAAGGAGCGACAAAGTCGTCATCATGAAGAACCTATTTGACCCTGAAACTTTCAAGAAAGATCCAAAACTCATTTTAGACGTGCAGACGCAATTGAAGAGCGAGTGCGAAAAATTCGGCGGCGCGAAAAAGGTGGTGCTTCACGATCGGCATCCCGACGGCGTGGCGGAAGTAGTGTTCAAGGAATTCGAGAATTCCGACTTGTGCGTGCAAATCATGAACCGGCGACTCTTCGGCGACCGGCGCCTCATCGCCGAGTTGTGGGACGGTAAAACGAAATATAGGATAGAGGAAACGGAGGAAGAACGCAAGGAACGGCTCGGGCAATGGGAAAAGTTTCTAGAGTCTGATGAGTAGCGATCTCGTCGAGATTATATATGCATATTTTGTTTCTTTTCTTGCGAATAAACCCATTTTTCACGCAACTCCGTAACCAACCTTCGTTTTTTTAAAAAGTACAGTACTGAACGGTATATGGTTGCCAAAAACTTACAGCGTGTTACCTTCATGAATGGCATTTTTTGAATTCCAGCATTGCAAAAATTGAGTCGAAACTTTCTGCTGTTGGTTTATGAATCTTGAAATGCAGTCAAACCTCTCCAAGTCGAACTCCAAGGGGCCAGCAAAAAACTTTGACTTGTAGGAGTTTAAGTTGAACCTTAATAACCCAAACCTCCCTGTCAAATACCTTCCTATACCAAATTTTTTTTGAGTTTGTGAAAGAATTCCCTTAGAAAGCATGTACAGTCGGGTCTTGGTTTACAAACGTAATAAGTTCCTAAGCAAAGTTTGTTGACGAAATACAGGTGGACTCCATCTACAACAATCTTGTCTACAACAAATTTCTGTCCAATGAATTTTTATTTTGTCCTATAGGGTTCTCTCCCCATGTTATACTGGTTCTCTAAAAAAAAAATTTCTGATCCCTTGTGTTTTGTTGTAGAGAGAGTCCACCTGTAGTTTGTTAACCAAATCACATTTTCCCTTGAGAAAATGCAAAAATAATTTTAATTGGTTTTCAAACATTGAAGGTGCCCATGAAAGTCAGGAACATTTGTCTTTAAAATGTTTACTTGGCCTGAAATTCCGGAACTTCTCTCAAGAAGGTGTAAGAGAAACTCACTGAAGTACCACAGCTCTTTGAAAATTTTCGATTTGTCAAAAGATCGAAAGATTTTGAGAGTTGTCTCACTCATCTGGGAAAATTCTGACATTTCGAAAAATGTAAAAAATCAAAATTTTAGTGTATTTGTTTGTGGGGAGGCTTTCAATCACAGGCACCAGAACTGAAAATTTGACTGGTGTGTTCATCTGGATATTTTATATGGTGTAATTTTCTGACTTGTATGACACAATTTTAAACAAGCAAAATTTAGGAATTAAAAGCTTACAATTTCAGCGCAAAGCACTTCGGATCTACGCATCAGCAAGACTGCATTTTAGGTTGACTGCATTTCAATCTGGTCAGATGATCCGAAATCATGAGGATTACCATGTACTGTAATTAATTTTCTGATCTTGAGGAACTTGTCTCCGTGTTTTAGATCGACGCTTTGACTGTACTGTATATTAATTACTTCTGATTGACCGTCTAATTAGGTCAAATTATGTGAAATTTTGAAGATTGTCATGTGATTATTTCCCTCTGTTCGGGATATTCAATTTTTATTTTTGGCTCGACTGTGAATGCGTTAACTTTGAGATCGACGCTTGGACTGCATATTGATTACGCGGTTGATCGACCGTGTAATAATTAAGGCAGATGATCCGAAATTGTGGAAATTAGCATGAATTATTGAAGAGAAGAATTTAGGAATTCCTGGATTAAAAATGAAAATGAAAGTTTTGGTGGAATAGCGTCTATTTATATGGAGTATCAATATAAATTGGCACTTCGTAATCTGTACAAAAAATGTTTTGATTCATTCCGCGCGTAATACAAAGAGATCATTGGCAGTGTGTTTGGACCAGTTCCTTCATCACAGAATGTTGTTTCCTTTGGAATGCTCTGAACACTTTTCACGTTTAGAAAGTTAACATTTTTTTCCCTTTTTTTCAAATCATGAGCGTCGACTCCGGAAAACTTCCGGCATTGTCTGCATCATCTATTACGTCTATGTCTTCACAAGCCGCTGTGGAAGATGACGGCGCGAAATCATCTGACGAATCCGACGTTCTTCGCCGCTGCGAAGAGGACAAGTCCATGACCCGGAATGAGCTGGTTGAGGTCATGGGTCTTCTTTCAGTTCCGACGTCGAGGTCTTGGTCGTCGTCGGCGTCGCGCGATTGGCAACCGCTGGTGTCGGGCTCTTGCCGTCGAGCGTTCTCTGCGGACAGCCCGGAAGATGTGGGCGCTTGGTCTGGGTGACGGGAGAGTAGATGTCGTTCCAAGTCGCGTCGTCTCACGAGGATCTTGCCGCAGAGGTCGCATCTATCGACGAGACCAATTTATAGGCTTAGAGGATGATGAAAAACAGTTTCGGGTTTACGAATCACTTTATGAAGTCTGGACAAAGCGAAAGGGCATGTAGTTTTATTCCATTTGAAGTCTGATTACAATATGTTGATAATGTTGAAATCATTGTTGGCAAACTTTTTGTAACATGACATGATAATAAGCGAAAACTTTCCATTGATGACGAGGGAATGTTCTTATCAAAATTTTTGCAAAGTTGTCTACCTCAGTTGATAATTTTTTTGTTTGGATTGCAACACTTCGTTTCCACAATTTCCCATCAAATGTACAGAATTTTCTATTGATAACTATTATTAATAATTTCAGTATACCAAATTGCAGAAAAGAAACAATATATTCAAGTTATGGCAGCTTAGTTTTGTAAGTTTACTTCTTTCTATTTCAGTTTCTTCTTTTGGGCTTGTTATATAACAGAAAATTTGCAGTACTTGAATTTGTTTGGGAATGATAGGTGGCTTTTATCCTCCTCCGCATCAATGCATTATTTTCTTTCGAATGCATTTACAATGAAGGAATCTATCATGCAAAAATATTTTAGAGCTCTTTTCTTTGTTTTGAAATTCAACAGCGCATTTGAATGATATATAATTCTGCATGAGAACAAGTTGATATCCTGCTTGGCTCGAATTACTATTTCTTGAAAATGTTTACCCTTCAGCAACAAGCCAAGGAAAACCACAAGAATTTAAATTTGGCAAGTAAGGATAACAAAGAAGGACTTCGATTTTGATTTTCCAGATGAAGGAGCATTTTGTTTTTATTTTCTGACCAAATGCTTTTTCACTAGGATGACTGGGATGACTTGGCACTTGGGGCTGCAACAGAATTTGAATGAATAATGATATCCGCCTCACAGACACTCAATATTTACCCAGGTTTATTTCATCCCAGGTGATTGCAAAATATTCAGGAATTCTAAAAGTTTGAGGAACTTCAGTAATAAATAAGTCAGAACTACTGTATAAAAGTGACTGACTTTGGCTCATTGCTTTGAAAAACTTCATCACCTAATGAAATCAATACTACGTCTTGGCCACAACTTCAGTCAAGTTTTTTCACTTTCAATCTGATAAAAAATCTGTCAAAAATGGTGAAAATGTTCAAGAGGATTTAAAGCATTTTTAAAAGGGATGATGAATCAACTCAACTATCTGTCTGTTCCAGAAATATTTGTCTGCATGTGGAGCGTAATTGGAATAACCCTTGTGTGCTGTGCAACTTTAACATCAACTGCTGCAATCTCATTTAGGACTCATCATTTAGGCCAACAAAAGCATTTCAATATTTGTGGACTTCTCAATGGCTAAAATCATGCAGCTGTAAAATAAGTGATTTGTTCTCAGCATGGGCTGGTAGAAAAATTGTATAGGAATGGTTCTCATCTCAGGACTATGTACTGGATAACAAATGGTTCAGTTTCTACTACATAGTAACTTAGTGGAAGTTGTTCAGAATTCGTTTTTGTAGAATATGTTAATTTTATAATGAGGCTTGAATTGCAAGTCATTTAGTGTCAGTTGCAGTGTGATGAGTATATTAATGAAATCAATTGAAGATGCATCATGCATTGTAGAGAACTCTTTGCCATGCACAGTCAAGAAAACATTAAGAATCCTTCCACTGCCCAAAGTGTTATATAAGGACAAACAGTGATGTGCATAATCACCTGTAAGGAGTGTCTCCTTGGGCATGAAGCCTGATGTGCTTGTTCAGATTGCTGGGGTCTCCAAATGGCCTCAGGCAAACCTTGCACCTCAATGGTTTGTACCCAGTATGAGTCCTTATGTTAATCACCTGTAAGGAGTGTCTCCTTGGGCATGAAGCCTGATGTGCTTGTTCAGATTGCTGGGGTCTCCAAATGGCCTCAGGCAAACCTTGCACCTCAATGGTTTGTACCCAGTATGAGTCCTTATGTGGATCTTCAATCCATACTTCCTTGAGTATATTTTCCCACAGTAAAGGCACAAATGACCACCTTTCCCTCTACCAATGTTGGAGACCATTGTCTCTAGGTCAGCATTAGACATGTGAGCCCCTGGTGTTGATGGTTGAGGGGGTGAAGGCTGCAGTACTGAACTGGTTCCTGGTCCTACAAATGACCACCTTTCCCTCTACCAATGTTGGAGACCATTGTCTCTAGGTCAGCATTAGACATGTGAGCCCCTGGTGTTGATGGTTGAGGGGGTGAAGGCTGCAGTACTGAACTGGTTCCTGGTCCAGGCATTACTGTCAAGATGGAGGAAATGGTTACAATGTGGTCTTTGCTAATGATGATGTCCAAAATATTTTGTGTTTGTATCTAAGCTGTCCTGCACTGGCTAACAAACACTGACCAAACTAGAAAACACTAATACAAAAAATTACTCATTAGATTAGAATGTATTGGAATAGTTTCTGGAAAAATGAAATCCAGATTACTAACATTAAAAATATAGCAGGCTTTTCACTATAAAAGATTGTATTTGTTCCCCAAGACTCCACTAAGCTTGAATTCCAAATGATGATTAAATTTGTAATAAGGGCATTTATATTTTCAAATATGATTCATTACTTTTGGCATACAGACCAGAACTACAATATTGATGCTTTGTTTGACCAAATTCAGTCAATGAATTTTAAATCAGTGTTCTCCAACTTAGGGTCTGCAGTCAGACACTGGCCTACAAAAGGTTTTTGGTGGCCCTTGGAAATTTTATTCAGCATAAGAAATTGATCAAAAGTAGCAATGAAGTCTGTTGTCTTTATCTGAAATTTTGGAAAGACAATTGCAGTTGAAATTTTCTGATGACTAATAAAACTTTGGCTTTTCTCCTAATAACACTTCACACAAACATTCACCTAGTGAAGTCAATTATTTTAATTTTTCATCTGAAGAAACCTTCCTTATTCAAGCCCAGCAGCTTTCAAATTTGTTGAAAATGTTCAACTGTAGCTGCTTCAGTGTTTCTCAGATTAAATTTGCAAAAAATCAGAAACTTTTGAAGTGCATTACCTGCCATCAAGACTTTAAAACAAAAATATTTTTGAGACTGGAAAAAATCTATGAAAATTTGCTAGTTGGCAAAAATTTTTTTTTATTTGCCAGTCCATGGGTTTAAATATAGGTTGGCTAACATTTTAAAATGAACTAAATTGCGTAATTCACAAGACTTACTTGTTGGCAAGGACATTTCCACGGGGGTCTGAGGTGGCCGGTGGAACGCAGGTGATGCTGGCAACCCTGGGTATAGCCGTCCCTTGGAAGGTTCCGGATCTTCGCGACTTCGCACCCGTCCCTTGCCCTAAGGCCCACCCTTTTCACGTCCTTTAGGCGTGTTAACCGGGTGACGACGTCGTCGTCGACGTCGACGACGTCCCTAACCTAAACCTGGCATTGGGGAGGCTCCTGCAATCAATACAAAGAAGCCCCAGATTGAGATGGATTATACAGTATTTTCATCTTAAAATATCAAATATATTCTGTTTGATCATCCAGTTTAGACATTGTTAACTCAAACCTCTTTAAAAAAACCTAAGATTTAGTCAAGTTCCAGGACTTCTTTTGTTTTAAAAGGAAAGACGTTAAGAAGTGAGGGAGGAAGGGTGTCCTTTTTACGACCAAAAGGAATAAGTTTTTAAAGGACTGAACCTAAAGACGACCCAGAAACTCTGAATTCACCTGATGGAAATATACCTTTACTGGAATTTCTGAAACTTATCTTTGGTTTGAAAAGCTCATTTTTACTCTCAGTTACAATTTGTGGCTTCCTTTGCTAAATTTCATGATGTCATGATCAGTATACTGTATTCACTCAAGTACCACATTATGCCCCCAAGTAAAGTGCTGCATGATTTTGCACAGGAAAATTGGGCTAATAGTGTACTATTACACTTCATATATGAGTTCTTTAAAATAAAATTCTCTCCACAATTCATTTTCTGGTCCCCTGGATTTTGTAGAGAGAGTCAAACTTTTTATACTTGTTTAGCTCTCTGACACAAACAAATTACATGTACAGTACTGTGATTTGAGTATTGGATCATGATTTGCTATAGAAATAAAATAATTGCCCCCTATACAGTGAGATGCGCACCCAATTCAATTTCCTGGAGTAGATTACTAGAAAAAACACGTTTTTACATATTTACTGAAGTGAATACAGTGAGGTGAAATACACTTTTCAAGGACATTTAAAGGTAAAGAAGAAACTTTTTTTCTATGATGAGTTAAAGGAAGGTAATGGAAATAATTTTTTCTTAAAAAACAGGAAGCGATCTTTCAGAAAAATTGAGAAACATTTGAACTTTTTCATATGCTACATATCTGAAAAAGAGAATTTTATGCAGAATAACTTATTTTAGAATTTTGATCCCATATTTTTTCAAGCTAAACTTTAATTGATTATCATAGTTGATTTAGTCTTTTAGGAAGATGAAGTAAACCTGGCACTAGGATTTATTCAATTCAATTAACCCAATATGTAATTATATTAATAATGGCAGGAAAGGTGAATCACCTGAAGTGACAGGAATGGACGACTGATGGAAGTCGATGGGACCCCGATTATTTGGGGGGAATTACTATTCAATGTTCCAAATGTTCTTATTGGTTTGAAAAGATATTCATTGAATCAAATTCAAGTGGCAAACATTTTTTTTCATGAAATTCTGAAGAATATTTCTTCCATAAAACACCAATTAAAATGTATACAATGTTAGTCTATGGGAAAACAAGATTTGAGTTGGGGCCAATCCAACATAGGGACACTCTAGATGCACCAATTATGTCCGCATCTGGGGGTCTCACTGTAAATAGTACTGTATTTACTGAAGTACCACATGCCCTCAAGTAAAATGCTCCATGTTTTGCACAGGAAAATTGGGCTAATAGTGTACTATTACACTTCATATACAAGTTCTTTAAAATGAAATTCTCTCCACAATTCATTTTCTGGTCCCTGTATTTTGTTGAGAGAGTCAAACTTTTTATACTTGTTTAGCTCTCTGACACAAACAAATTACAGTACATGTACTGTGATTTGAGCGTTGCATCCTGATTTGCTCTAGAAATAAAATAATTGCCCCCTATACAGTGAGATGCGCACCCAATTCAATTTCTGTGTAGATTACTGGAAAAAACACGTTTTTACATATTTACTGAAGTAAATACAGTGAGGTAAAATACACTTTTCAAGGACATTCAAAGGTAAAAAAAGTAACTGTTTTTCTATGATGATTTCAAGAAAGGCATTGGGAATAATTTTGTCTTTAAAAAAACAGGAAGCGATCTTTCAGAGAAATTGAGAAACATTTGAATTTTTTTTCATATATATTTGGAAAATGAATTTTATGCAGAATAACTTATTTTAGAATTTTGATCCCATATTTTTTCCAGCTAAACTTTAATTGATTATCATACTTGATTTAGTCTTTTAGGACGATGAAGTAAACCCGGCACTCGGATTTATTCAATTCAATTAACCCAATATGTAATTATATTAATAATGGCAGGAAAGGTGAATCACCTGAAGTGACAGGAATGGACGACTGATGGAAGTCGATGGGACCCCGATTATTTGGGGGGAATTTGACCGGCTTGAAGAATTCCGGCAGAGTTTGTCCGTTATTGGCAGACGACGTGCCCAATTTCGCCAGGTTTTCTGCTGCAGATCTCGACGACCCATTGCTGGTTTTGATGGCGGAAGTAGAACCCGACGACGAGGGCTTGAACAGACGGGCCCAGAAATCAGACGCTGATTGGGTTTCGCAGTCCAGCATGAGGTGGATTTTCAGTGGGTTCGGGTCCTTGAATGACTTGTTGCAGGTGTTGCAAGAATAAACCCCGCGACCTATTGTTTTTTTTGTGGTGAAAATTCCAGTCATTTTCGTTATTTCAATTTCTTGTGACAGTGACATGACTCGTATTTTTTCGGCGAAACACAATTATAAAGCATGTAAAGGTAAACTTGCCAATTTTTCACGCGTCGAAAAAAAAAAAACGGATAAAAAACAGCTAATTTTTTAGATCCGACCATTTTCTTCTTCAAAATATTTAAACACTATATTGATCAAATTTGCGTTAGGAAAAAATGCCAGATTTTTTTTACTCTCCTGGATAATGAAAAAAATCATAGAAAAATGAGCGAGTTTCAGAAGTGTAATAATTTGTCTCCATCAGAAAGAATTTTTAAATTTTTGAATCTTAACTTCCGTATATTTTTATTCGGAAATTTTTAATCTTATTTATTGCTGAGTTCACTGAAATCATTTGATGATTTTGATTCGAGAATTCGCATTTTTACGCAAATTTCCTTGCATTTATAGTGGACAAAGTCGTTGTCTGAGGAACTTCGTTACATATGCTGTGAAAAAATATTTATTACTGAATGAAAAAATTGTTAGTTTCTTCAAGTATGCTGATTTTTCAAAAATTCGAAGTGGAAGGGATTTTAGCCACTTGATGATTACAGAATTTTAGAAAAGGCGTCACATTGTATAAGAATCTTAATATAATGACTGATTGTTTGGGGATCTTTATACATAAGCGGTTTTTTGTAGCAAGATTTTTCCTTTTTGTAATTTTTTTCAACAGTTTAATTTTATCCAAGTCCAAGTCCATATATCTGATATATTGCATCTGCTTACTTTTTTTTATGCAGTTGAACCTCAATAACTCAAACCTCCCCCTAAGTTGGAAACCCCCCCAAGTCAAATTTTGTCAGGTCCCCCATCTGAAACCCCTGAGAAACAATAATACTGTATTTTACATTGAGAACCTCTCTAAGTCAAAGCAAGGCTTTTCCCCTCAAACCTCCATAAGTCAAAGTTTCTGTGGCATTTTGGCTATTATTTTCTTGACTCAAGAAAGAAAAAGCAACAGAAGCATAAATTGATGTGCTTTGAAATTAAGTGACAGACTTAATTGGGAAAATGAACCCCTGCCTCCAAGTTCATCATCATTTCAACTCAGTTAAGATTCTTGAGAAGCAATTTAAGCCCCAGAATATCACCATTTACAATTTTGGGCCATTTTTCTGTTTCCCAGAACAAACAGGCTTTGTATTGTAGCTCAAACCTGTATAATTCAAAACCTTCGTAAGTTGAAACCTACCAAAGTCTATTTGTTTGCTGGTCCTTTGAAATTCAACTTATTAGAAATGCTTGACAGTACCTTAATTTAAAATTTTTATGATTATAAAAATATTCCTCGAAGATGATTTTCTGAAACAAATTTTATTTTTATATGTTACAGTATATAGTGTATATTTTAGGTCGTGAGTATTGACTTTACCTTTGATGTGACTGAGCCCGAGGAACGGCATGCCGATTTGCGCGCAGATTTCGTCCGAGAACCAGGCGAGAACCTGGGCACCTGGCCGCAAATCCGCTCGCACCTATTTTTTTTGAAAGCATTTTTTTTAGGACCAAAAATATAAAATGAAATAAATTATATACAGTACTTGCATACAGGGTGGGCCATAGAAAATAAATGAACCAATTGTTGGCTTGAAATAGCTTGGTAGCAACTTGAGCTGTGGTAATGAAAAAAACAACACAAAATCCAAGCTTTTTCCCTTTTTCATTCCTATTTTGTTTGTGATGATCAGGGAAATGGTAACTTATTGAAAATTGACCAATAATGAAAAAAGTGATTGCTGGTCATGAGGATTATTTTTTTTTGAGATTGTTATCTAAAAAAAAGACAAATCCTGCATTTTTTTTATTCATGCGTTGGTATGTTTTGTGAAGTATTTTTTACTTTACTAACCATTTATTGATTTTCTTTCTTCAGTTCTCATCATACAGGCAGTAACCCACAATTTGACCCTAACCTGTTGCTGGATTAGGGTTGAATTGCAAAACAGTCAAATTGCAAGAAACTGTGTAAAATCAAGTGAAAGCAGCACAAAAAGGCCAGAGTTTAAGCTGAAAGTGGAAAAATTGCAGGCAGATTTAAAATTGCATGTAAACCTCCCAGAAAATTTGACAGTCAAATTGGGGTATGGATGAATTGCTGGAGGTTAAATTGCAAGGTTCCACCTGCACTCTAGAATGTGTTTCAATGATATGTATGCTGGAGAAGGAGGGGGGGGGGGGTTTGATTTGGATGATGGGATGTGGGAAACAATTGTTGAACCTTGTGAATGCTGACATTAAGTGGGAAATAAAGCTCATTTATCTTTCTATCTATCTGAGATTATTCAGTGAAACTAATTTTGAGCAATGCAGTCATTAAAAAAATATTGCTTGCTGGGTATGTCACAGCAGGAGCCATGAAGCTGATCCAGATTTGGGAGTGGAGCAACATAACCACTGCCAATTTTTATTTATTTTTTACTTCTCAGTCCCACCTTTAAAATGTTGGCAATGTGTGCACCTTCTTGAAGGCAGCATGCAGTTTTTCTTGGTACAGTACAGGTTCTGCACTCCATTTATAAAAAAAAAACAGCTCCAAAGAACATTAGCTTAGTGGAAGGAGTTGCCTGACAACTTTTTTTGTGGAAAGTTTTCATTCAAGTGGTTCCTGATGGAACCATATGTTGTTGCACTTGGCACCATAAGAAAAAAAAACCATTTGAAAATGAATTGAACAAGCTTTCATTTGGTGTTTGTTTTTATTGCCACACCTCCAAAACTTAGCAATTTAGAGTCAAAAATGGGTCCACTTTTTTGGCCCACCCTGTATATATCTAGAAATGTATCCAATGGTCTGGCAAAATCAGGACAAAAGGCTCATATATATACATGCTGGTTTTGCAAATGATTGTTCAACCTTTGCTTCCCAGATACTTTTTTCCATGAAAAAGGAGAACCCAAATGTTTCATGCGGGCTTCTTTTGAATGCGCAAAAAAAAACCCTAGTTTAGGTGAAAAATCACCCGCATGACATTTTTTTTTTCGCTGTGAAAAATGCAGCAAAAAACGAGAAAGAATGCTTCGTAATGGCTCAATTCATCAGTGAAGGATTCCTGCTATGCTCGTGTAGCAAATATTTCTGGGGATCAATGAATCGATCAGAAGACACGGAAATAGATCGTTATACGGGATTCACCCAAAAAATTTGGATATTGGATTTAAAAAAACAACACATATTCCTTGAAATTTCACCAAGAAAAATTAATTTGTTCAAACAGTAACATTTTTTTCTGTTCCCCACAAAACTCTTCAAATTGGCCAATCATATAAACACTGTGTTGCACTCCAAGAAAAAAAAGGTTCAATAGAAAATGTAGTTCAATTGTTTTTCTACTGAAAAAAATCAAATCCTTTTTTCAAAAAGTTGCTCTATCTCTTGAAAATAAGTATTTAGATTTTTACAAGTGTATTCAGGGGCATTGACAGTCCCATGATCACTTTGTTATCAAATATTGCCCTGAGGCACACCTTGTACATTTTTCAAAGTCTGAAGCTCCAAATAACATTGGTCCAACAAAAAAGAATCCAAATTGTTCTTCTTCTGAAAAATATCAGCTGCTTTCTCAATGATAAACTGCTGTATTTCATGTGAATAAATGTTGATTTTTGCAAATTTATTCAGATGCAGTGAAAATAATCCCATGAGCAAGTTGATATAAAAAAAAACTATTGGCCTGAGGCACACCTTATTATTATCTGAAATCTGAATTTCCAAATTATATTTGGATGAATTGTTGAAAATGAGGAATATTTTGTATTGACAAGTTGCTAATTTGGAAAAGATGATATGTAAGTAATATTTTCTTCAGGTAAATATTGTAAACATTTGGTGATGCAGAGTTTTTGCTATTAAGGACCCATCAGTATAAAGGCTCTTCACAGTCTCTCTCTTTGTACAGTGATTCATACAAGAATGTCATAAATATTTACCCATGTGAGTCACTGACCTCAATTGACGGAAGAAAAGAAAACAAGGAATGGATTTAGGGGTTCAGTGGATTGCCCTGGGGGGGAAAAAAAGGGGGGATGGGGAATAAGGCAGTGACATATGCACCAGTGTTTGACTGGTGCAGGAAAGCGTAAATTTCCCCTCTGACATCCAGTTATTGACAGCTTTGTCATGTTCCCCTGCTTCCAACCCTATCTTTTCTGTACAAAAACATTTATTGCACTACTGTCCTATTCCGGATGCTGTATGCTGTAGTATTTGTGTGTGTGTGTGTGTGTGTGTGTTACAATTCAACCAAATTCCTGGTTATGACATGCAAACAAGTTGTCATGATACCCTATAATTTAAAGTTGGAATATTGATGGACTGAAGCTGAATACAGTACATTAAGTTTTCCTGTCATTTCAAAATTGGCTTTTTTCTTGGATATTTTCTGAAATTTTGCATGCAAAGAAGTTGTCATGAAACCCTATAATGTATAAGACTGGGTTATTGATTTCTGAAGCTGAAGTCTAATGTTTCCTGTCATTTCAAAAGTAGCTTTTTTCTTGGTATATCTGCAATTTGGCATGCAAATAATTTGTTAAAAAACCCTAACATTTGACTGAATTTGTAATTTTCGAAGCTGATATTGTAAATTATTTTTGGCATTTTAAAAGTGTCTTATTTTTAGATATTTTTGAATTTGGCTTGCAAAGAAGAAGTCATCAAACACTAGTATAAAACTGGCTTATTGATTTTTGAAGCTGAAATAAGTCCTTAATTTTCAATGTACTGTAATTTCAAAAGTAGATTCTTTTTGGTGATTTTCTGAAATTTTTGGAACTCAAAGAAATGTTTATCTAACTAATGTATATTTTATGAATGGAATGTCAATGAACTGACGCTACATTTATTAATTTTCTTGCCATTTTAAAATTTCTTATTTTTGGTGATTTTTGAAATTTGACATGCAAAGAAGATGCTATCAAGCTCTAAAATGAAACTGGTTTAATGCTTTTTTTTAAAGCTGAAGTCA